CTCTACCACTGAGCCACGCCCCCAGCCCCTCACTGGGGGATTCTAGGCAGGTACTGAGCTACATCACAAACTCTTTTACATTTATGTGTTTATGTGTGCACACATGCAAATGTCCTACAAGGGCTCTGGATCTGAAACTAGAGTTACATGTATGTTGCTGTGAGCTGCCTGATACTGTGCTGGGACTGGACTCCCATCTCCAAGGATGGTGAATGTTCTTAACCATTGAACCTAGTGTCCCCAGTTCTTTTTATTTTGCTTTTTGAGATAGAATCTTGTTACCCAGGCTGACCTTGGACTCACTGTGCGGTCCAGGCATTCCTTGAACGTGGAATTCTCAGCCTTCAGATTACACGTTTTGTAGCACCAGCCCTGGCCGTTTTCTTTTTCTTTCTTTCTTTCTTCCTTTTTTTTTTTTTAAGAGATTGTTTTTTACTTTTAATTGTCTATGTGAGGGGTTGTATGCGCCTGTGGAGGCCAGAAGAGGGCAGCAGATTCCTTGAAGCTGGCGTTAACTCACGGCCGTGAGCTGCCCAACATGGGTGGTGGGAACGAAACTCAGGTCCTCTTCAAGAGCAGTGTGTACAGTGCTGAGCCAGCTCCCCAGCCCCAGCTCTCTAGTATTTTTTATTACATTTATTTAGTGTCCGTATTTGTGTACATGCATGCATATAAGGGTGCATGTGCCATAGCCTGAGCATAGAGATCAAAAGACTATTTGCAGGAGTCAGTTCTCCCCCACCGTGTGAGTTCTAGCCCAGCCTGGTCTGTAGCGTGAGTATTAGGACAGCCTGGGGGTGTAGAGAGACTGTCATAAAAATAAAATAAATGTATACATACAGACACACACCAATTGTTTAGCAAGTTATTTTAACTAAAACTCATTTCTCTTTTTTTTTTAGATTATTTATTTATTATATGTAAGTACACTGTAGCTGTCTTCAGATACCCATATGAGGGCATCAGATCCCACTGCAGATGGTTGTGAGCCACCATGTGGTTGCTGGGAATTGAACTCATGACCTCTAGAAGAGCAGTCAGTGCTCTTAACCGCTGAGCCATCTCACCAGCCCCTAAAACTCATTTCTGTCCACGAATTTCTGTTTTGATTCTCTTGGAAGCACTTAAAGAGATGTAAACTAGGAGAGAACAGGTATTGTAAACCTAAGGGAGGCTGATAATTTCCAATTACATTGGAAAACGCCTCATTTGCTTTCTTACCACGAATGCCTGGTGTTTTGTTTTGGGGACTGGGTCTCACTGTGTAGCTCTGGCTGACTTGGAATTCACTATGGATGCCAGGGTGGCTTCGAACTCATGGAGATCCATCCTCCTACCTCTGCTGGGATTGATGCCGTGCACCAAGGCAGGGATTCTGAAGTCAAGATTCTCCTGCCCTAATCTCACAAGCTCGGCTAACCCAGTGTCTTGACCAGGGAATTTTAGGTGCCAATTTTTTTTTTTTTTTTTTTTTTTTTTGCCTTCTTCTACAATAGATAGGAAAGCTACGGCTGAGAAAGAGAATTCAACAAAAGCCCTGGAGAATTTCTGGGGCCGGGCTCTTGCTTGAAGCGGATCCCCAGGGGGCGCTACCAGCCCACCACACCTCCGAAGCTTTCCCTGACTGCCAGCTGGGACCAGGCCCCAGTCATGCACTGTGCAGATGCACTCCTTCGTATATACTATCTCAAACCCCCTCAATGTTGCCACCAGCACTAACATGCCTTTTACCTTTCCTTGCAGATGTGCGTTTAGTCGCGCTGCTCGGAGGAGGCAGCAGGAATTAAGCCTAGATATGCTCGATGCTTGCTTTCTTTTGTTTCCACTTCCCACTCCCTCACCCCCCCCCACCACTCTGCCTATATAGCTCAGGATGGTCTCGAACCCATAATCCTTCTTGCCTACGGCTCCCCACTACTGGGATTACAATTACAGACGTACACTACTGTGTTTGGCTTGAATTTAGATCCCTTCCATTCTTCAGCCTGGGGGGGGAGGGCGAGGGGAGAGAGAGGAGAGGGGGGTGGGAGACCGTGCGTGGGCATCCTGGGGGAGGAGCAACTTTTGTCCCACCACACCTGTTCCAAATGTCCCCTTCATTTTCTAGCACATTCCTTCCCCCTCCTTGGTATATACTATCTCAAACCCCCTCAATGTTGCCGCCAGCACTAACATGCCTTTTACCTTTCCTTCAATTCCCTACCACAGCCCTGCCTTGAGCCCACCCCAAAGATCCTCTGCGCGTTCTCTCTCTCTGTCTCTGTCTCTCTCTGTCTCTCTGTCTGTCTCTCTCTCTCTGTCTCTCTCTCCTCCTTCCTTCCCTCTCCCCCTCCCCCTCCCTCCCCCCCTTTCTGTGTGGGGGTCTCTCTGGTCCTCCCTCTGAGCTCCTGGCCTCCAAAGCTGCAGAAGGTAGTTTTCTAATGTGGGATTTCCATGAGGATCTGTCGTGACCCCTGCTCTCAGGAAAGCCCACAGCGCCCCTAAGGAAAGGACAGATCAAGTGATTAACTTGTCCCCCACCCCCCACCCCTCCTGCACCTCTGCAGCCTGGGAATCAGAGGCTCTGGGTACATATATCACCTTGCCCCAGTGACCAGTCAGGAACACAGTCCTGAATTTCAGGTCTGTAAATCACTTGAGTGTCAAGGAGCTCATAAAATCTATCACGGCCAGCCTGCTGAATTCTTGTCCCCTCCTTCTCGGAGACTGGCTTGGGGAGGGGTTTGTGCATATATAGGGAGCCGCTGTACCTGGGGCTGGCCAGAGAGGCTTCTATAGAGAAGGTGAGGAGGGCTTCTGGAATTGACGGGCAGGAGGGCTGGGGAACCCTGCAATTAGAGGCTGCCCAGTTTTTCTTTTTCTGTAGAAGGCTCATTGCCCAGCTGTGGGACTCTGGGCATAAGGGTACCAGCCTGGGCTCTGCAGCCCGTGAGCATCTCCTGGCAGATGGGGTATGGAGCAGAGAAGACGTTCTGGCTGGGCCCTGCCTCCTTCCCTCCTAACTTCTCCCCTGCTTCTGTGTCCCCAGCAGGAAGATGGCTTCTGCAGCGACAGAAGAAGAGAAGGGGTCTCCTGTGGTGGTGGGGCTGCTGGTCGTGGGGAACATCGTTATTCTGGTGAGAGGCAGGAATAATGGGAGTAGGAAAGTGTGGTGGGGAGGTGGCAGCCACAGACCTGAGGTGGGGTTGCGACCCCAGCTCTATGTGCTGCAGGCCCAGATCCTGAAGGGCATGGATCCCAGCTGCTTGACCTTACAAAGGGAGCAACCTGTTCTTTGTGGATCCTCCTTGTCTGTAACTGAATCCTCCTGTGGATCATGTAGATTCATCCACAACTCAGGGAAAACGCTTGATAGACAAGAAGAGTGGTACACACACACCCATACACACACACACACACACACACACACACACACACACACACGTAATCGCAGCTTTTGGAAGGCTGAGGCCAGAGAATTGCTGTGAGTCTGAAGCCAATCTAGACAACAGTGTGTGAAATTCTGTTTAGAAAGAGGAAAAAGAAAGAGGAAGAGTGAGGGTGAGGGCAGGAGGGAGAGAGGGAGGGAAGGAGGGAGGGAGGGAGGGAGGGAGGG